CCCTTGAAGATCGCCTGCCTAAAATCACGCACTTTACGGTGGCGGTCCCACGACAGTCGAGTGGCGTCAATAGCTCCATTTACGCATACTGCACAAGGGTCTGCTATGGCATCGACAGTCCCATCACCAGCCTCTTATGTGCAGCGTCGTAGGTGCGGTGGCTATTTCTCAAACTCAAAGTGCAATGTTAACTTGAGATTGCACTTTCAGAATACAAACACTGCTCCACTGGAAACCAGGATACGATTTGAATCTCGTGCTTGTAGACAGAGTGTTGAACGCTCGAGCCCATCGGCGTAGACGCCACTCGAGCACCTTGCACGGCCGAGTCCCAACAAGTAACCTATGAAAACCGATATCGATCTAGTCTCCGAGGTATCGAAAAAGGAAGATCTTCCGGGTTCGAGATTTGCAGCCTTTCTGCATTTCTGCATTTCCGATATCATGGAGACGACCAAGCCGGCGCCGTCGCTGCTCAAGCGCCTCGCCAAGCGTGTGCTTGTGCAGCCCACCGTGCGCTTCGGCCTCGGCGCGGCCTTTGGCCTCTCGACAGCCGTCGCTGTCTGCTTCTTCCCGTTCCCAAAAGGCAAGCTCATGAGCGCAGCGTTCGCGCCCTTCATGCTCGTGTTTGCCTACCTCCTCGAAAAGTACACGACCACGTCCGTGTGCATGCCGACCACGTGTTTGCGCATCTGGCACGGCAAGACGAGCTTCCTCGCCGCGGCGACGGTCTACCTTGGCATGTACGCTGGCGCGGCGTACGTTACGCGCCAGCTCCACGGCGCAATCGCGTCGTCGCCGACCAAGGATCAAGACCACATGGCGCTCTTTAGCGAAAAGCTCTTTTTCGAGATGCAAGACGTACGTTTTCCACACTCGATTTTGCGAAGTGGAGTGTTGAAATCTGTGTAGACGATCGAGTCGCGCCTCAAGCAGACGGCCATCATCACGGCGTTTTTTTATGCGCTCGACCATGTGCTCGTCCAGGCGGCGCTGCATATCTTTAGCTTTGTCTGGCTCGTCTTGCTGCCCGAGATGAACCCGGCGATTGCAATGGCGTTCCTTGGCTACAGCGACGAGCTCCGCGGCGACGATCTCGCGCGCTTCTGGGTCAACTCGGTTTTCCTTGTGCTCGTGAGCATCCTCAGCCTCCAAGTCGCCAAGTGGGGTCTAGTCGCCACGAAGGCAGGTATGACCAAGTGGAAAGAGCACTCGAAAAGGGCGACTCTGCGCAAGCCGAAGCGAGCGTAGAGTGTCTTGCGTACTCCGATGGGAGCCACCATGTCGATAAATATATACGCTTTTACATGTACTTGTTTTCAGATTTTGAAGCGTTGGCGCGAAGGTATGGACGATATGGTCTGGGTAGTACATCGCATTGCGTTGGACGTGTACTAGAGATGCCCGAAGTTTCATCCAGGCAAGTGGACGATGGTGTGAGTGCTTCTGACGGGCCGCTATCAATTAACCGGAACGCGCGCTCGTTCGGGACAGCGCGGTCAAACTTTCTATAGTACAAAGGCCACATGCAGGAGCAACTGTGATCGAGCCGGCACGAGCCTCGAGTTCCTGATGCCTCGCAAATATCGCTCGCCATGCCTTCGCGGCTAAGCGAGACCGTGTTCGAATCTCATGCAGCAGCTCGACAGTACTTTGTGGGCTGCTCAAAACGAAATTAGAGTCCGTGGCAGAACTCGGTCGGTCACCGCCACGGGAACAATCAAAGTCCCGTGCTCGATGCCTCGCTGGTGCTGAACTCAAGTGGATGCACTTGACACCGATCGATGTACTCGTTGCGCTACGTGGCGTGTGCCTCAATCCTTGCAGTCGAAAGACGGCCCTGATTGATATCGAATAAGATGAAGCTTATTGGGCATCTGATTGAAGTGGCTAGCGATCTTGCAGCGACGACTGCTGGATGCATCCGGATACTCCACCAAATTGTCCGCATAATCCAAAAAACGCAGCATTTTCCATCATGATGGCGCAGCGACCCCGACGAGCGCCCGCGTCGGTCCTTGGCGTCACCGACGTCCTCACGACGATCATCCAGTGCACGCCAAAGCCCAAAGACGTGCTTTCGTTTCTTCAAGCGCTGCCACCGAGTGTGCGGACGCCAGCGATGGCTGCGCTTCTCCAGCTCTTGGTGCCCTCCGTGGAGGCCAAGAATGGCTACAGCCATTATTGGCCGCTGGCGTGGCTCGGCAAATCAAACGACGATGACGTCGATCTTGTGCTTATGGCCGTGCCTCTCTTCAACAGTATTGTCCTCGACGGCTTCTCGACGAGCCAGCGATGGCCAGCGAGTGACGACCCCAACTACAGCTTTGGCTTTTGCGCGTTTCTGGCAAAGTGGGCCAAGAAGGTGGTACAATTGAACCTCTTCAAGATTTCTGCCAAGAAATACCGCCCGGATTTTTGCCGTCTACTGCGCCAGTGCACAAACATCAAGTGCGCGTTCATGCCGTACGAGCCCGACCTTCTCGAGGCACTGATGACCCCCGCCCACAACGTGCCGGACCTCGATTTCATTCCCCCGACTTTGAAAACGGGGCAGCTGGAAGCAGCGGCGCTTATCCAGCGCTGGCTCGCGTCCGGTCCCGGGCGCCGCGCCAAGTTTCGCATGCTGCAAGCCGACGCTGGCCTCGCGCGCGCGCTCGCCTCGTCCCCGCACCTGACGAGCCTCGACCTGAGCCATTCCGAGTGCATTCTCTCCAGCCTCATTTTGAACAGCGCTCGTTTGACACACCTGGCCGAGCTTGTGCTGGCTTGCGTACATGGCACGGACGCGCCGGGGCGCATTCTGTCGTTGCTGAACCCGCATGTACTCACGAAGCTCTCTATCGAGATTCTCGTTCGCACCGAAGTCGTTGGACTTGCTCAAGCGCTCTCCGAGCTCGTGGCGCTCGAACAACTCGTTCTCAAAGACATCGATCTGTGCACGTTGCCGAGGATCAATGCCGCCGCGGTGTCGACGATGCGAACGCTTGAATTCTGGAGAGTGCAATTGACGCCCACAAGCGTGGCACACGTGCTCGACTGGGTCACGCGCTCGCCCCGTCTCGAGTCGGTCACGTGGATGAGCTGTGCGATCTTTGGCATGAACATTGGCTGCGCCATTGACGTGGTCCAGCGATGCATCCGTGCGGGTGCCCATGCCGTGGCATTCGAAGACTGCGGTATTGATACGCATGGCGCGACGGCCTTGGCCAACGGACTCCGCAACACCCATGCGCGCCATCGCACCATAATCGACCTCTCGCGCAACAAGGTGCTGATCGCAGCCGCACGCGCAATGCTTTCGGCCCTCGCCACATGCACCAACGTGTCGATCACACTGACCAACAGCCTACGCACGCTCTCGGTCGACGACCAGGCCAAGCAAGCCGGCGTCACCATCGAGTGGTGCCAGCGCAACGTATGGCCGAGCTGCGTGTTGACGCTGCATTCCACTGGCACCTAGCTGTCGCGAAATGATCGAGTCAAAGTGAAGAACGAGTCCAATAGCCCCTTGAATTGTGGAGACGCATTTTGTCGAGAGCTATCCCCTACGAGAACTAGAGGACACCATAATCTGCTAGCTTTACCGGACAATAACGACTACATGAATCCACGGATGCCAATATTCACACTAGCTAACTCAAAACGTAAGGCTTTGAGACCAAGGAGACTTTTGAGCTTTGGCTACTCGTCATCACATTTGTATGAATGCTTTTTACGTTTCATTCTCGGTCGACTTTCGGCGCACCTGGACGATTTGCTCGAGCGCTGCCAGACCATGCTGCTTTGAGTTTATAGCCAGTACTGCTGTGTTGCTTAACACGAAGAAACGTCATATCTATCTATCTATCTATCTATCTATCTATCTATCTATATGGAGTTCAACATGTCGGAATGGAGCATCGTAGTCAACCTCGTCGATTTTAGGCTACCCGGTTACGAGTACGTGGGCACCGAGTTGATGCGAGCTTCCAGCTCCTGATCCTTGGCTTGGATCTCGTCCGCACTGGCCATGATGTGACGGCTGAGAGAAATGGTATCGAGCCACTCGAGCACCTCGGAAGACTGGAGAAATGGCTCGGAGAACGCCGTCACTGCTCGAGGAACTATACAACGTCGTCGGGCTGTCACTAGATATTAATCTTGGCGAGGCCACGAACTGACGACGATTTACCATGTTTGAGATTATGCGGACAATTGATAGTCCCGTATCCGGATGGCTCGAATATCAAGTCGCAACAACACGTCCACATGTTGCCACTTGACACCACAAACACAGACACCATTCGAGAGTGGATAGTGGTGCAATGGAGAGAAGATCAACTCGGTTATCAACTCGGTTATCAACTCGGTTATCAACAGACCAGGTTTGGATTTGGCAAGCTCGTTTGTCATTTTTAATTTTCCGAGCAAGATCAGCACGATGGCGGGCGGATCTCAAAGTGTCGTGATCGGCATCGATCTCGGAACGACAACGTGCAGTGTCGGTGTCTGGCGCCACGGCCAAGTCGAGATGGTTCGCAACGACAATGGCAACTTGTCGACGCCGTCGTGCGTCGCCTTTACCGACGCTGGTCGTCTCGTTGGCGACTTTGCCAAGAGCCAAGCGCCCCGAAACGCACCCAATACGGTCTTCAACATTATGCGCATCATTGGCCGTCGCTACGACGAGGTGCGCAAGAAGAC